ATGTTAATCCAGTATGTAAAACTCAGTTGATAAAGTGTCTTCCCTCATTAATATCCCATAATCATCTGTAGGTGGTCTTACTGTAAGATGGGAGCATTGAAGAACCACATGAAGTGCCAGACGACATAAAGTTAGATGGCAGGAAAAAGTCTCCAATGTTTTGGTGACTAAGAAACTCCAGAGTTCCTCTTCTGGAACTAAAATTGTGTTCTGGGTTTTCATGGCCTGTAGGTGTAATGTGTAGGTGACCCCATACGTTTGTCCATATAGTATTCTACACCGCCTACCTCCCCTTAAGCCATGTTGACCCAGGTTGATGTGACAGTGTCTCAAAGAGCCTCATCTGATGAGCAAAGTTTATGTTAGTCAGCACTCTTAGGCTTTCTTTCAGATCTCCAAAGCTTTGAGATGTGTTTGGCTTCAATATCCTGCTGCAGTGTGAATTCTTCTCCACAAAGATCTACATCACTGTTGGAGCACATCTCTGAAGAATGGATCACTGCTTGCCCTCAGTCAGGGTGCAGTTGACTCACATCAGGTGTTCAGCTCTGGGTCTGGAAACACCACCAGACTTAAACTCTCACCGTCTGATCCACTGTGGTATCTCTCCCTCTCCTTACAAAGACCCTTGTTTTCCTGGCTCTAATCTCTGAGAGTGATTGTTAAAAACAATTTCAAATAGTTTTGATTATTGGAAAACATGTATCCAGGTTTATCAGTTACTTTCACTATGCCATTTATATAAGCATTTGTATCACCTTGTATTATTTTGCTTTATTCTTCATTAAAGTTTCATTTCACAAAGCTGAACGACTCCAGCAGACAGTGAATGTAAAAGTGTTTTCATGCTGTGGCCTTTGTTTTGGAATTTATAAGTATGCTGGTTATGAAAATGTGTCAATAGAAGCAGTTGAAGGTGAATGTGCACAATGTGACATATTAGGACGTTTACAAAGGCATTATCTGAATGTGGTAAACTTCTTTGATCTGCACAAAAGGCTGCATGAATGTAATGTGGTTCATATGCTGCTAAGAGATGGTGGCGACTATCAAAGTGGAGCCAATGAGATTTGATAAGGGAATCAGAGGGGGCATTGTCGTTCAAAGGAATAATACATACATACAAAAACACCTTTCATAACAGGGAACACCCTCAGGTGTCTCTACTGTCACTGCACTGGATGAATTTTACTCATCCGTCCTCTGCTTTTCTGTTGTGGGGTTCCCTCTGAGAATCCTTTGCCCTTTCTATAATAAGTACAAGTGATGCATCAGAAAGCAATGACATTTAAGTCACTCTTTCATCTCAAAAAACAAACAAAATTCTTCAGCTAGCTGTATATCTGGACAAGAAAATAGAAAACAGTGGTTTCAAACTGTTGATGCGTATGTATTTTGCCTACACGTCATTAAAACACTATACATTTTCTTTTTCACAGTACGTTTTTTGTGTCACATGCATGCGTTTAATGGCAACACGTGTTTCTTAAATTGAGGTCTGCAAACTGGCACGGTTGAAAGTAGGTGCACGAAATGCATCTAAATAGGTTACGGGTGCATCTGTAACCTGGGTTTTGTACACATCTAAAAGCAGCACTGATAAGATCTTGGGAACATCATGAAATCTCCATCACTTCAGTCTGCACCACGAAACATTTGCATAGAGATGAGAACTGAGTCACGTTGTGCTTGTAGCGTGGTTTACCCTGGAGGAGGCAGAAACTTTAGCTGCTATTCTTTGTTTGTAAGCCCTTGGATGAAATTTTTTAGCTAAGAAACCCTGAACTTTGACTTTTTACACAAGGAGATAGAACGGTTTGAGGGCTAGTTTACCCAACAGAAAAGAGGTTCTATATCTGAAAATAGTCATGTTATGAAACCTTCAAAGCTCTCTGCCTACAGACTACAAAGTGAAAATGTGGTGGAACTGCACAGTAAAAACAGCCCAGTTTCTTAGAAAACTCTCAAGTGTTGTTTTTTCCAGTTCTCTGTGGCAACATCACTGAAGTAGAAATACAAACCAAATATTTCCGCCTGCCTTCCACAATTACAATAAATTCAGCTCCCAGGACACAGAGATTTGACCTCTGAAGCCTCATTTACTGTTTCTTGTTCTGCAGTTATTTTTTAGCCGATATTGTGACCTTAACGTATATTTCCAGTGTTGGGAAGGTTACTTTTAAAATGTATTCCATTACAGATTACAGATTACATGCCCCAAAATGTATTCTGTAACGTATTCCGTTACGTTACTCAATGAGAGTAACGTATTCTGAATACTTTGGATTACTTAATATATTATCATGCTGTTTACAACTACATGAATGTACTATTGCTGTGATTTATTACTGTTACTGAAGGTCCGCGGCTCCGAACCGTAGTAAAGGGACCTCTGGCTAATACGGTGGGTTCTGGGTCAACTTTGCTAGTGAGAGACAGAGAGAGGCGTTGAAAGGCTGCTCCAACGGAACTTATTGTTTTTGGAGGAAAACACGAACACGGTGTACAGTCGAGTCTTAATAGCTTACTTACAACTGGGCTCGTCAGGCTCTCTTCTTGGCTGCAGTGGTTATTATTATATTTACATGCTTCCAGCTCCCGTTTTTGCTCGATGACAGCTCGTACTTTTCCTTTTTCTCCCTCCCTCGCTCACAGACACATAATGTGTATGGCAGTCCATTCTCCCTGCAGCACGGACTACACTGCCCATGATGCTACATTCTTTAGAGCTATACCTGTAGCATTCTGCCTATTAGCTTAGCACAACAACAACAACAAGGCCTCTCTCACCCAGGAAACACGCAGAGAGAGAGCGGCACCCTGTAACCATGGCAACCGCAACGCTGCCGCCGGGAACAACAGAACGTAGCTGTCAAACAAAACCCAGATAGGCCTGACCCGCCACAATATGAAACAGGGAAGTACCGCCGTGTAATCCATTTATTTCAACAAAGTAACTGTATTCTAAATACCACCTTTTTAAACGGTAACTGTAACGGAATACAGTTACTCATATTTTGTATTTTAAATACGTAACGGCGGGACATGTATTCCGTTACTCCCCAACACTGTATATTTCCCTCCCTATGTCAGCAATGTTAACAGTATCTAGCAGCACAATCACCGGAGCTGGAAATGAAGCCAATGCTTCATTCAGACTGCACTGCCTTCAGTAATTACATGAGGTTGTTTCTATGATTCAGTCCCCAAAGACTTGCAAATGGAAATAACCACCTTTACAGCAGAAATTATAAAGTTTAAAAGCTTGGTAACAAAATTCACAAAATCTGTCCATGAAAGGATTTTTTACATAACTATCCCCTTTGAACTGTACAGAGGTGAATAAGTACCCTGCCCATAGCCACTCACTATTAGCCAGTAAATTCATTAATATAGACCTCTTGACCTCATGACCTCTCCTACATGTACACAGAGCCAGTCTGTGGGAGTCAGAATTGTGGCTGAGCTGTAAAGGATCAAATACTCAAATTTCTCTCAGTGTCATGCAAACCAGTTTAGAGCTTTTTTGTGATGTGTGTGTTTTTTTATTTTCAGTTAATTGTCTGAAACTATCATAAAAATCAGACTTTTCATTTCAAGTGAGCAAACCTACAAATTTAGCCGGCAATCAAATAACTTTCTTTCTTTCTTTTTCCTCAGAATTTCAGTGGAACAATCAGTTGCCCCACTTTCACTTGTGTAGCTCTAAATTTGGTACAACTACAGTTAAGTAAGTTTTTATCAGGTTCAGTAAGATCAGTACATGCTGACTAATTGTGATAAGCATAATACATCTCAAACTTTAAGCTTTGTGGTAGAAGCAGCAGGAGTTTTTTGACCTCCAGCCGGGCCTAGTGATGGGTACTCAAGGACTTACAATTCTGCATTTGGGTTGTGAGTCAGTCTATTCCCCATCTGCTTGGGGAAACACAACTAATTTTGTGAAAACCACACACAAAATGTCAGGCATGATTGCAATCAGTTTCCTTTGTCTACTAAAACCCCGTAAAAGAACCTGAAAACTAGAGGTAACCTGTACAGATATAAACACTGATTACACTCTCCCCCACTTCCGCTGATTCTAATCTGTCAAATGTCCCCTTACTCTAACTTTCTTCCGCAGTTGCACGAGCGGTGGTTTGAGTGTGCTTTCGTGTCGGGGATTTCTGAGTTTGGGGCGGAAAGGTTGACATCACAGAGGTAGAAAAGGCATAGGATTTATATTGGATGCACGTCTGGTCAACATCAGATAAAAACACGACGAAGAAGATCCTCCTCATCCCTCCGCTCTCAGCATCATGAAGACTCTCTGCTTCTCTCTGGGACTGCTGCTGCTTGCAGCCTGCTGCTGTGATGCCATCCGTGAGTGTTTATTCCTTTATGACTCCTTGCATTTGTTTGTAAATTTACAGCTGACAGGTTGATACTGACTTTAGTCTTTTACCTTGCTCTCAGCGAAAGGCGTCAAGTTCAGCACAGCTCCTGGAACCTGCTGCTTCAACTTTAAAATAAATGCAATACCGGTGAAGTTGGTGTCCTTCATCACCCAGACGCACAGCTCCTGTCCCAAGAAGGCATACATGTAAGTTTGATATTTTCAAACAGGACTGGTCATGAATAAAGTATAAAAATGGATATGTGAAGTTTAGACAGGCCGTCTGCAAGAACTCAATCAAAGCAGTGTGAATAAAACGATTTTTGTGTGCATGTTTTGCAGAGTCCACACTGTCAAAGGAAAAAAGATCTGCTACACTCAGAGCTTCCAGTGGGCTCAGGACATGTATCGGCTCCACAACACTGAAGGCAGCAGCTAGCCACCACCAAGATCGTCAGCTATCGGCTT